AAACTGGCCCTGAGATGTTCTTCTGGAGGAAGCAGGGAAAGGAACGAGCAATTAAACACGGTAACTGGAGTTCTCTGAGTCTCGCAGCGATCATGACAAACACAAGAGAAGCCCACAGAGCATAGAAGAAGAGGGTTGGAGGTCTTCTAGTCCAACCCCCTGCTCAAGCAGGAGACCCTAGACTATGCTGGACAAATGGCTGTCTGGTCTCTCCTTGAAAAGCTCCAGTGATGGAGCATTCACAACTTCTGGAGGCAAGTCGTTCCAAGGATTAATTGTTCTCACGGTCAGAAATTTTTCCTTAGGTCTAGGTTGTTTCTCTCCTTCATCAGTTCCCATCTGTTTCCTCTTGTTCTGCTTTGAGATGTTCTCCAAGAGGATCTACTTGATCCTTCAGATCTTCCAGGGTGCACCCATCTTTGTAGAAGAGACACCACTCTAGCTGAGTCCATCCTGTTCCTGATGATTGTCTTCTTCTTCTCCTTCTTCTGTCCTTCCCAGCCTTGAAGACTTCCCAGAGAGTGGGGCCACACCTGCTACTACACCTTGGAAGCCACTCACTTCCTAGCCCCCATCTCTTACCTCAAAAAGGTGCTGAAGAACATATCCCAGTCCTCGAACGCTAAAGATCTGGATGAGAGGATACGGCTGAATCATCCATTCCAGGAGAACCTCGAGAATGTCTTGCGTCATAAAGATGTTTCCAACTTCCGGTGATACAGCAGCTGACGAAGAAGAGTAGAGATATGGAGCATTAGCCAAGCCAAGGACGGGAACTTCCCTGAGAGCCTCTACTAAGAGATGCCACTTTCAGCCATTACAGGGAGAGAAAAAGAAAATACAGTCCTCGTCTAGTGACCCCTGAAAGTCACAATGGCACTGTGGCACAATGACAAAAGTTACACGTCGATTTTCAGACTAATGACCATGTAGCATCCTCACGGTCATGTGATTAAAATTTGGTTACTTGCCGCTCCATATTTATGACAGTCGCAGTGTTTCGAGGTTACGTCATCCCCTTTTGTGACCGTCTGATAAGCCAAGTCAATGGGGAAACCAGATTCACTAATTCACCAGATTGACCACCGTAAGAACTGCACTGCAGCGATTCACTTAACAACTGTGGAAAGGAAGGTTGAACAATGGGGCAAAACTTGCTTAAGAACTGTTTCGCTTAGCAACAGACATTTGGGGCTCAGTTGTGGTCATATATTGAGGACAACCTTTAAAAAAAATCACTAACCCCGCCCCTAACTGCCTTATCTTCCAGCTGAGGGCTGATCTCTCCGGGGCAGCCTTGAGAAGCAGCTGTGGGCTTGTAAAGTACTCCTTTAAATTAAAAGACTTTGAAAACAATTTCAACGGGGGCTTAGGAAGGAGAAAAGCAAAAAAATGGACGATTAAATTGGCCACGCACACCCAGTCATATGACCTTGTAGCCATGCCCGCCCACCCAGTCTGGTCCCCCAACAGTCTGAGGGACTGTGAATCAGCCCCCTGTTTAAAACGTTTGAGGACCCCCGCTCTACAACGTCAGACAAACGGCTGTCCAGAATATTGGGTGCATCCCAAGGTCTCCTCACCTCCGAGAAGAAAACCATCCCGATGGTCTTCTCTCTTAGATCGGGATGGTGCAGGTATGTGTTGGTCTCTCTGAACAACCCCTTGAGCTCCTGTTTAGAGGAATAAGTTCCTAAAAGAATAAATATGGAGAGATCAGACAAGATCTGCTGGTTAGGGAGAAGAAAATCACCAAGCTAGAGAAATCATGATCTGAATTATCGATAAATGAATTACTCAATGAATTACTCCATTTAGAGAATTTCTCACCCTCCCTCTCTTCCTCTCCCCTTCCTCTCCCTTTCTTCTCTCTCTCCTTCTCTGACTCCCCCTCTCTCCCTCTCTTTCTCACCCTCTCTCTCCCTCTCCCTCTCCCCTTCCCTCCCCTCTCCTCCCTCTAACCTTTCCTCTCTCACACTTACGCCTTCTGTGTCTCCCTGTCTCCCTCTCTCTCCCTCCCACTCCCTCTCCTATCTCACACCTTCTCTCTCACACGCACCTTCTCCCCTTCTCTCCTCCTCCTCCCTCCCCTCCGTCTCTCTATTTCTCTCTCTTCTCACTCTCTCTCTCCCTCTCCTCCCCTCCCATCCTTCCCTCTCTCCCTCCATCTCTCTTTCTTCTCTCTCTCTCTTCTCCCTCCCTCTTTCTCCCTCTCTCTCTCTCTCTTTCTCCCATAAAGATGGCCTGGGTACTATCTGCAAAATTCTAATTTTATAAAAATCTTAGAAATAGCTCAGCAACAACTCTTTTGTGCTCATCTAAAACTGCATAAGCTTGCGGATGATCCTGGAGCCCTTCTAGAGAGCTGGAGAAGTGCCAGAGGAGGTGGAAGAGAAGGAAGGTTGCCCCTCTCTTCAGCTTCACCAAACCAGGTGTCCGCCTAGAAAATCTACAACACCACACAGCCTATCTAGCAAAATGCCCTAGATTGGTCATCTAGATTGGTGTTGCTTGATCTCAGACACTTTAAGATGTGTGGACTTCAACTCTGCTGGCCTGAGAACTCCAGAAGGAGCTGCTAAGATTGAACAACACTGGTCTAGATCAGGATTTCTCAACCTTGGCAACTTTAAGAGGGAGGACTTCAACTCCCAGAACTCTCCAGCCAGCATACTGGAGTTGGGGTCCCCATCTTTGGGGCAACCATGACCTGGATGATTGACCATCTCCATGGACATTCAACTGGGAATAGGTGGGCTCTGAACTTGTGTGTTCTCCTTCAAGAAGCTTCTGCATGGCTATTCTGCTATTGGAGGGACTAACCTGTCTCTCTTCCTTCGTAGGACGACATCGAACTGAGGAATACCTCCATCACCATTTTTGGCATGCTCCTAAAAGGACTGAAGGAGATACGGAACAGTAATATGGCCGAAAACATCCTGAACAGCCTTGTTCCTCTAGTCATACTACTGTCAAATGGTCGGACGAAAGAGGTGAGTTGAAGGGCTGCGTAACCTGAGCTCCTGCTCTGATCATGCTACCTTCTCAGTGAGACCACCCCGTACCCCCATCTTCATTCAGAGCAACGTGGTTGTACCACATAGACACTCTGGAGAATGCAAAGAGATTCTGGACAATCCTGAAGTTATGGGTCCTTGGTGCTCCTGAACTTGGTTGTTTCCTTGAAGACTTGTTTCATGACCCAACTAGTGACAGCATCAGTACGTTGGAGGGCAGGGCTTGATCTCTTCTTAATCTCCTATCATTTTAATCTTGATTTTGATCTTGGGGATGTGGCAACGCTTGTAAGTGTGAAAATCAGTTGTAACTTACTTTTTCAGTGCTATTATAACTTTGAATGGTCACTAAATGAACTGTTATAAGTCGAGGACTACCTGGCCTATATCCCTCTCTATTGTATAGGCAACCCCACAGTAGTGTTTTTTTGTATGAATTATGTGTTTTTTTCTTGAATCAGTCGATTTAGCCGTCTCTGCTAAGCCCACCAACGTTTTCTTTTTATGCGCCTAGGCTGCTGCACGCAATACATGCAACCGGATGTGGTGACTTCAAAACAAATCGAAGAAGTTTTCCTTGTGAGTTTCAAAGTTCCCTCACTTGAACCGGTGACTTGTTCTCCGGAAGCTCTTTCGCTGATCAGGGTTGGTTCTCATGTAGATCCCAGAAATCATTTGTTTTCTGGATTCGTTTCAGGTCTCCGGGATCTGCAAGGCGATTGTGAAGCCTCGGTGGCTCAGGCTGCAGCTGACTCAATGGAAGAAATCTTTCGACAGTGTGGCCATCGGATCAATCCGGATCTTATTAGTAGTCAACTCCTCTCCAAGGTCATCAGGAGGATCTCCGAGACCAAGCAATAATAGTTAATAGCGTAATAGTTTTCTTTATTGTCACGGCATCTCATAGAATGAAATTAAGTGCCATCCTCACTGTATATTATACATTTTAAAAAACCCCATAAAAATAAAACAAAAACACACCTCCTTCACATTGTATGCAATTGAATTGAAAACCCCTGATATTGCATTAATATTGCACTCTACAGTAGAATCAATACAGTTACTGCTCTGGGATTGAAGCAGTTTTTTAGTCTATTTGTCCTTGTTTTTATTGTCCTGTACCGTCTCCCAGATGGTAATAGTTCAAAAAAAAGGGGGGGCCAGGATGAAATGGATCCTTAAGGATGTTTTGAACTTTTTTAAGGCAGTGGGAGGTATAAAGCTCTTCCAAAGTGGGGAGGGGGCAACCAATGACTCTCTGGGCACCTGAGACAGGATAATTTAATCTCAGAGAGGAGAAGGTTCCATGAGAAGGTCACAGAGCCACAAATGCTATTGGAGAACGAAGGTAGCAACCATCAACCATCGATGATATCTGGAACACCTCCACTCTTGGTCATCTTCCAGCAGAAATAGGAACGCCTAGAGTAGGGCAAATGCAGAGAGCTGAACACTCCCATGGGGGGAGATCAAATGTCCTCCAAAAAGATGCTCATTATTATCCACATAGATGGAGCATTGAATAAAAGCCTTCATGAAAACCTCTGGATCCCAAAAGCGTCTTCCCATGGGCCCTAATTGTATTTGGAAAGCATGCGACGTTTCTCAACTTAGTTTGTTAAGCCAGAAGTTAGCTGAGCACTGGTCCCCTCCTCATATCTGTTCCTGGCAGTCCTTTCAACTTTCAGCCCTGAATGAGCCCAGCCTTATTGGTTGTAAGTTGCACCGGTCATAAACCAGGTCACCTTGGGTCCGTGATCGATTTAATGACCTTTGAATGGATTAAGGGAGTTGTTCAAAAGTACAGACATTGTAAATAATCATATATTCATGTGCCTCTCCTAGGGGAAATTGTTTTTAAGAATAGAAGAAGAATAGAATAGAGCTGGAAGGGACCTTGGAGGTCTTCTAGTCCAACCCCTGCTCAAGCAGGAGAACCTATACTATCTCAGATAAATATTTGTTCTTAAAAGCCTCCACTGATGAAGCACCCACAACTTCTGGTGGCAGGCTGTTCCACTGGTTAATTGTCTTATTTCTTAGGAAGTTTCTCCTTAATTCCAGGTTGCTTCTCTCCTTGATGAGTTTCCATTGTTTCTTCTCCTGCCTTCTGATGCTATGGAGAATAATTGGATCCCCTCTTCTTTGGGGTAGCCCCTCAAATACTGGGAAACTGCTATCATGTCGCCCCCTAATTCTTCTTTTCTTTAGAAAAGAATAGCGTCTAATTATGGTGGATGCCCCAAAGTGGAGAAAGGTGGACCAAAAAGGCATAGAAATATCAGTACAGGTAGTTCTCAACTTATAACTGTTCGTTTAGTGTCCATTCGAAGCTACAATAACACTGAAGAAAGTGATTTACGTCCCATTTTCACACTGATGACCGTTGAAACATGGTTGATTTCCAAAGGTTATAAGAGTGAAAAATGGTCCTCAACCACTCTTTTTTCTGTTTTCACTTCAAAGCATCACTAAATGAATGGTTGTAAGTCGAGAACTGCCTGATGCTAAACCCAGGTGGTCCTCAACTTACGACCATAATGGAGTCCAACATTTCTGAGGCTAAGTGAGACATTTGTTAAGTGAGTTTTGCCTCATTTTACTACCTTTCCAGCCAGTGAATCACTGCACTTGTTAAATTAGTCACACCATCGTTAAGCGAATCCAGCTTCCCCATTGACTCGGCTTATCAGAAAGTCACAAAAGTTGATAGCATGACCAGGGACACTGCAACAGTCGTAAATGTGAATCAGTAGCCAAGTATCTGGATCTGGATCATGTGACTGTGGGAAATTGTGAAGGAAAGGTTCTGTATTCGAATGGACCGTGACCCGATACGCACACAAACGCACTGAAGCATGGAAATTGACAGAGGAGCCTTGAAAAACTACTTGGTTTAATAAAAACACATAAAAACAAAACCTACAAGAAGGCACCAACAGCCTAAAAGATTCTCCTCTCAGCAAAGTCCATTAGCTCTAATCTTCTTCCCAAGCATGGGAGGTTCTCTGTGTTCTTTGTCAGTCTTCTCAGGAGCAAAGCAGTGACTCAGCTCTTTGTAGCAACTTCAGCTCTGGAGTAAGGTCTCAGGTGAGGTCTCTGGCCATGATCTGCTGCTCTCTGCTGCGCTCTTCAGTGAACTCTGCTCTTGTGCTCTGCTACTGCTTATATACTGAACAACGGACCATTGGAAAGTGTGGGAAACTCAAGCTGTGCTCTGATTGGTTCATTCAAACTGTTCAAACCAATCAATCAATTAGCTGCAGCAATATGCTGAGAGGTTTTTCCTCTCACAATCCCCTTCTCTGCAATAATTGGTTACAGAAATGCATGTACATACAAGTCATGAGCATATACATCATAGTAGTAAGAAATACAATCTTACATAATCATAGATATCTTATCCAAGAGATATTGGTGTTGATCCCTAGGCAATGGCTTCGTGAACAAGTCTGCTATCTGCTCCTTTGTCTCGCCGAAAACTGTCCTAACGAAACCTATCCTGGTTAATTGCCTGACATGTTTATATTTGATGTCAATGTGATGTGACCTCTGTCCCACTGCATCAGCCTGTGAGATATTGATAGCAGCCATGTTGTCCTCATAAATCTCAATAGGATACACTGGTTCTTCCCACAAGTTATTTAGGAGATCATCAAACCATACCAGATTATTAGATGCTTTCGATGAACACACGTATTCTGCCTCGGCAGTGGAAGTGGCAATTAACTTCTATTTACCTGAGTACCAATGGATGGGACTCCCATTCAGAAATATAACATAACCTGAGGTACTCTTTCTGGACTTAATGTCCCCTGCCCAATCAGCATCTGTGTAACAGCATAAACTTGGTTTATCTGATGTATCTGGCTCCAATAAAAGTGAATGTTTAACAGTGTTCTTTAAGTACCTTAAAACTCTTTTAATTCCACTCCAGTGGTATTGAGTGGGATTCTCACAATGCCTGGTCAGAACGTTTACGGCCAGACTAATATCTGCCCTAGTCCAGCTTGAAATATACAGCAATGATCCTATTACTGATTTATAAAATGTCTTCTGCTCAAAAGGTTCACTTTCAGCATACATATTCTTCAGGAAATCTGTCTGCATGGGTGAGTCGCAAGGTTTGGCCTCTGTCATGTTGCATCTTTCTACCAATTCTATAATCTTATCCTGTTGGGAGAGTTCATACCCTTTTTCCATCTTTACAAATTGGACTCCTAAGAATTTATCAATTCAACCTAGAGGCTTTAGGACAAAATTCTTACTTAACTTCTTGGAAAACATCTTACATCTGTCCTCAGACTTGCAGACATACAAAATATCATCCACGTAAACCAGAACTGTTTCTTTAATACCCTGATGATTTTTAATGAACACACATTCATCAGCTGATGAGATTGTAAAACCCATCTGTTTCAAACTACTGGTAAGGCATTCATACCACCTTCTGCCAGATTGTTTAAGACCATAGAGGCTTTTGTTTAAAAGCCAAATATCACTTTCCTGGTGATCTACACCTTGAGGAGCCTTAACGTATATTTTCTTATCTAACGTGGCATGTAAGTATGCCGTTTGTACGTTGAATTGGTACACTCTCCCCTTGTGTGGCAGCTATAGTGAGTGCGGTCTTCACATTTTCAGGCCGCACTGTAGGTGAGAAAGTGTCAACATAATCATCAGGGAATCTTTGTGAAAAACCCTGTGCAACCAACTTCGCCTTGTAAATAAACTTCTCATCTTCGATGGGCTTTTTTTAAAAGACTCATCTTGTGCCAATTACCTTTTTGTTCATTGGTAACTCCATTGGTGTGAATACCTCTAGTTTTTTCAAACTCTGCAATTCGGTATCCATCACAGCATGCCAATTTTGTTGTTCTTTATCAGATAGCATTAACGCATCTTCATACCTTTGGGATATGACCAAAACCTGGTCAACAGAAGTGATAAAACGTTCATACCTTTTTGGCTTCTTCCCCCTAGTGGATCGAACTGGCCTTTTAATTGATTCTTCATCCACTCCATTACTATCTGATAAGTTGTCCTCCTCACCATCACCATCCCACTTTATGCCCTTCTTTCCATGCTCTCTCCGTCTTCCACTTTAAAATTCCCTTCAAGGGTTTGGGGGGGTGTACTGTCCTCCTCATCTCCAAAACCAGAGGTGTCGCTATCAGTAGATAGGCCTTCAGACACTTTTTCTGTGTTTTTATTTTTACTACAAGGGAGATCTCGAGCCAGGATCTCATTTGCATGGATCCTGCTCCAATTAGTGCCTTCATAAAAAGTAGCTGACCTAGATATTACTATTCTCCCATTTGAGTGCACAAACCTAAAAGCCTTAGAACCTGTCTCATAGCCCATAAACCTCAGTTTGGCTGAGACTTTATCCCCCTTCTTTCTAAGCTCTTTTGGGATGTGGATATCAGCCATCACTCCAAATACATGAAGATGCGCCAATTTCAGCTTATGGCCATACACTATCTCATATGGGGTCTTTTGTACCACACTGGACCATACCCAGTTGAGTGTATAATTTGCATACCAAACAGCTTCCGCCCAATATGAAAAACTTAAGTC